TCTTGGAGGGCGCCTGCTGCATTTGTAGTACACCCATTGCTAACGCAAAATAGTGTTGGTGCTTCGATTACTGGATGAAAGCACAAATATCACAAAGTTATCCTTCATGTATTCATCTAAAGTCTTCTCAAACGCCGTGAAGGATGAAAACGATACACCCACAAATTTCTCAACAAAAGCCACTTCCGAAGCCATAGCAGAAAAAGTCTAAAGCCGAATGTGCGCCAATAATTTTCAAATGTCATCGATTAAAACAAATCGCAAAGAAATGACGGCAGATGAGGGGGTTTTCGGTTAACGCATATATGCAAAGAAGTGCAACATTTTGACGTTAAAGTTTTTATTTCGGCTGTAGGGGTTTTGCAGAAAAATACATTGTGCGTCTAGCCGCTGGCTCAGGTAGATGTGGCATGGAATAACTTTCATCCGATGATTCTTCACGCGGCATCTAGTACCTCATCCAGTACCTCAAAGAACTTCTAGACCTCTTGTCAGTTGAGTCAACGGGCTGGCAATATTACTGCCAAGCACCGGGACCCTGAACACTAGTGCTAAACCTGTGGTGTTTTGTGCCTTTATTTTGCTTTCATTATAGCACTACGTATTTCATTGGCTGCATAATCGTTTTTTTGGAAGACGGAAAACTACAAAAACGCGCACTTGTACAAAGAATTCACGTAATACAAACGTAGTCACTTGCGTCTACTCTCCTGATTTCGCTCGCGCTTGCAGCGGCCATTCGCGAGTCTCATGTGCTAACTGTGGTACCAAAACATTTTAGACCATCTTCATGGTCTATTATATGTGGGAACTGTCCAGAAGAAGACCCCTGGACCAACATATTTGGATTATTGTTTATTTGCTGACCTGGGCCAACGACGAACTATTTTAAAGAGAACAATTATTAGTGAGTCTGTTCCATCTGACCTCTTTATTATTGTATACCCAAGCTAGCGTTGTTATTTTTATTTCTTTACCACACGCTCCTGGTAAAGTAACTTACTGAGTAGCCAGACCACTACAAACCACACATTCGCTCTAGCCTTTCAGGTAAACGGGAGCCGCTGAAAGACGAGAACAAACCCGGCCCGGGAAGCTTGAGTGAAAACATCGAACCTGTGTATCAATCCGTGAAACTGTGAACCTGGAGGAGCGGCAGACTGGGTTTGTCATATATCTACACCTTGGCCAACCTGGTGAGAGACTGCAAATGTAGCGCGACAACCCCAGGATAGCTCAAGGGTCGCCGATGGACACAAACACCATACTAAGGCCAAATCTCCCCATGGCAGCGCCTTCTGGATGTTCCGTTGGTAACCGCTATCCTGCCAATAATGGGTCATTACCCAGTTAGCACGCGTCCGCTCCTGGGTGCAGAACCTGTGCGGAATCTCTGCAGAACTTCTGCACTAATTTTCGGCTTTTAAGCCTCGAGAGCTTGAGTCGTTTAATAGACATCAAAGCTTCTTTATTTGTCTCAAAATAATATAAAACCACAATGACTTGCACTTCCGTGTGCCTAGGAAATGCAAACCGATTTAAGTGGCGCCGATTTAAGTGCGACGCCATTGCTCGCGGGAAGCTCTGCCTTCTGCTTGTCCTCACGTGCGGCTGAGAGTGAGTTTTGTTGTGCTTTCATGTTTTATTCCCGGTGTCTTTACGTGAACGAAACCGCAAAAAATATTTTTTATTTCAAGTAACCGTCAATGCGACCGAGAATTTTTCGTGTTGCTCGTAAAGGCTCTTCAAGAACAACTCTATATAGGAAAGTACTACAGGCGGTTGCGGCAAGTGGCTGTTTTTGTTGCCCGACTGACGGACGAACTCAGATACTTTTTCCCGTCCCTTCCGAATGATCCACGGACCGTAATGAAAACCCCCCGTCGTTGCTGCGTGCGACAGAAGGCCGGTGGGATGTACATCCACCTTGGGTTGAAAGCAGGTTTGCTGCAACAGCTCCGTGAGATTCAGACTACGGTTACAAATATCGAAATTCAAATGAACGTTGACGGTATTTGAGCTTATAACAACTCGCGTACTCAAGTGCGGCCTATACCCTCCCGGATATTTTCACCCTTTCTCGGTCAGCCTTTCGTCGTTGGAATATACTGTGGTAAGCATAAGCTCAATGATGCTCATCAGCTGATGTCTGACACGGTCGATGAGTTGACAGACGTCTTGGCGAACGGTGTCTCTGGGGTTTACAATACTCACACCGTTCGTCTTCAGTGCATTATTTGTGATAGTCCTGCTAGGGCCTTTCTGAAGCAAGTGAAGGGACATACAGGATATTATGGCTGTGACTATTGTACACAAAAGTGTGTGCACATTGGCGCACGTATGACTTTTCCCTCGTTGACAGCTCCGTTGCGTCGTGACTATGATTTCCGGACCAGAAAGCAAGAGAAGCACCATATAGGTCCAAGTCCGATGGAGGAGTTAAATTTTCCCATGATTGACGGTTTCCCACCAGATTACATGCATAGTGTGTCTTGGTTTAGTGCGGAAATTTCTCATCTTACTTAGAGCTATGCCATTAGGACACAAGGCCAGACTTTCTTTGGAGTCCTGGAATCTGCTGAAGGATAACATTGTGCAACAGAGTTTGGCTCTGAGTATTGATTTCTTCCGAAAATGTAGAGGTGTCGTAGACCTGGATCGGTGGAGGGCATCTGAGCTACGACAGTTTCTTCTGTACATAGGACCCGTTGTTTTACGAGATATCTTACATCCTGACGTTTACGAATGTTTCATGTATTTTTCGGTAACCACTTTCATAAGCTATTTACCTTTTTTCCACAAAATTATGCTGATTTTTTAATTGATGTTTCCAAGGTTACTGTGTCAAAATTTGCTGCTATTTTTGGTCCCAGCCATTTAGTGTACAACATATACGTCTTCTCCCATTTATTCGATTTCGTCAACCTTTATGGTTGCTTGGATCGTTTTTCCTGTTTTCCCTATGAATCGGAGCTGGGGCATTTGAAGCACTACACATATGGGCCAAAACCACCGGCTGTTCAGCTTTACCGCCGACTGGCCGAGCGCGTGGGATTGGATGCTGTCGAAGGGAAGATATTTTTGTATGATGTTGGTTTTTGACTGAGGCCATCAGCCACTGCCGGATGTCACAGGTTTATTCATAGGGATGTCGTCTTTTCGAAAAACTTTCCCGACAACTGCATTTTGCCTGATGGTCAACCAGCTGTCATTGTAGATTTTTCTGGAGATACTATTGAGTACCAGAAATTCAAAACTGTTCTCCCGTTTTACACTCACGTATTGATATCGACAGACGTTTTAGTTTTTCAATGCTCCGACTTGCAACACACTCGGCTGTTTGCATCAGTCGACCAAATGTCTTGCAAATGCTCTAGTTTTTCCTGCGGAGACACTCGTATATACTTCCCCATTTTGCATACCCTTATCGATTAGTCAGTAATCTTACCACTGGCACTCGACACATGTATGCGTTTATTACTTTTATCACTCATTAGTTCGTAAAATATATATACATTTTTACGTTGGTGTTGTGTTATTCCATCAAAGCTTCCGTTTGCATGTGGATATTCTCCCGTTAAATGTCGTATTTCGAAGATGTTTTTTAGCCACGTACGTTGTTCTCATATTTGCGGAAAACTCTGTTGGCATGGTGCATGAATCTTGGTTCGTACCGCCCGATTCAGTCCTTTGACCCTCGTGCACAACCAGCACTCTTTATGCCAACTTACTGAGGGGTACTTTACAAAAATGTCCACTCAAGTCGTGCACGTAAGAAGTGTATCGGCAGTACAGTAAGTTCATTTTCAGTTAAAAATGTTCTAGAAACTTTTTCGGATGCACCGAGTGCTCAGCAGGAAGCCCTTGACTCAGGGCATACCTCCTCTGCGGAGCAAAACCATGGACGGCTCGTACGTCAATCCGGGCTCAGTATTCGTAAACTGGTGTGATATTCCCGAAAGCTACGACTTTTTAAAGGTCTACGTATAACAAATTGTTCCGCGAATTAGCTGCGGGGAGCAAATCTTCAAGGTCATCAATCACCACCGACTGTGAGAATGGTGCCTGATCTAACAAGATCTTGCCACTTGCTGTAAAACGAGAATCACTTTCAATGTGCGAACGTTGCAGGTAGTTCTGCGGTTGAAACAATTCATTGGGTATTCCAGAACCTACGATGTGCTTCCGGATGCGAAATATGCAGAAGCGCCCCTCCTTTAAATATTTTTTTTCTATTTATATCTGCTTGACCGGACGAATACAGAATTATATGTCCTGGGACCTCGATAAACGTTGCTCCTGGTTTTCATCGTGCTATTTTTATTCTTACTATTTTTAGGTAACTCGTGCGGAGTTTGTGGACCCAAGGCTAGCAGATGTTGATGACCGATTCTGGAACGTCAAATTCGTTGGCAAAATGCAGTGAAATTATGCACTGTAACCATAAAAGTATGCCAGGATGACCATGTCTTCGATCGTTGCAGACACCTAAGCTAATATGACTAACGCACAGGATTAACATGCGGCTAGACGACCAATCAGCTGGCCAACGTGGGCCCACCCATCTTTACGGCAACAGTCGAAGATCCGAAAGATGGGACACGAAAAGTTAAATTTATCGGTATTTTTGTTAGTACAATGTCCTCCCACAAAGCTATGGCCGTCTTTGTGCTCAGTGCACATTCAGCTATTGACGCTCTGAAATGAGGGGAAGTTATAACTTAGGTTATGAAAATATCACTCTGAGGCAGTTGGCTGACAAACTGAGTGCAACGCCTACCCTAAAACTGCTGCAAGCTTGTATAGACCTGTTTACAAACGCTATTTTCAACGGATGATTCGCACTGCGATTTGTTGCAGCCTGGTGCCTACTGATTATCTGGCCTTAGGATATATGAGACTCATGAAATGAATGATGTCTCATTGACAGTTGGACAAACTGGAGTTGATAGGCCCTGCGTAGATTAATCGAAATTGCCGTTTTCTCTTTTCTCTAAGTAGTGCTCCACAGGAAACCGAAACTCTCATATGCATCTTGCTGGTAAAAACTGTGTATCCGTCTCGAACGCGTCTTGATAATTTTTTCTGGATACTCGTTGACCATCACTCATACGTAAACAAATGCTACAAAGCGATTTCACAAGTTCCATAATAAATCTCATTTCTTAATACACGCAAAACGGAGTTACGAAAAAACCACATACCACCAATTCTGAGGCAAGTTCATTGATCGGTGAGGATCATTTTTGGCACCACATGATTGGCCACAATTTCATGTTCTACCACCCCGCTGATCGCTGTCACCCGTTGATTTGGCACGGCTGCCGCATCGATTCACCGCCATTGATGTTCTGACATTGGCACGATATATTGATTCCCGCTGGTTGTCACCGGAACGGGGCCCACGTCGTCAACGGATTATAACTCACCGAGTTCTGAGACAGGAACGGGCTCCATGGGTATGTTTTCCTGTCGTTTTCCTTTTCATCGGTGGCAGCGCTAGCGGGACATCACATAATCCATCACCTCACTCTCATCCCGGGTCAGCAGGCCTTCTGCCTAAGTGAGTCGTACGTCTTGGTGCACCTTCTGTGTGCCATATCATGGAATTCAATGATAATCTTCCGTGAAGCGGAGTTACGAGGAAACCATATACTACTCGCATGCCTCATCGGTGGTGTTAAGCCAATAACTCAGATCCGTCGAGTAGGTCTTCTTTGTGCACACAAGCCTCCATGCATAGTGCGATGATAATCTGTCTCGATGTAAATGAATGTTACAAATACCAAGAACATGTTTGTTTTCTTAACGGAGCTGGGGCCAGGCTCAAAAATAAATCAATCGTCCGCGGACCTCCTGGGATCCAGTACCTGAATTTTATCCACCACTCGGTTCAGTTGTTAACACAGGCCATTCAAGGCTGTCGGCAATGGATTGGGAACATGCGTAACGGGCATGCCTTGCTACGGTAGAGTTTAATCAGAGAGCCGCCGTCGGTGGGTGGGGAAGAAACCCAAGAAAACATCCATGGAGAACGTTTCTTACTATTCGAAACCAACTGGTCTCCGAACAGAGAGGATCCTGAAAGAAACGTCCTCCACACTGGCAAACCATTTACACTTGGTGTTTCGTCAGTCGCTTGACGAAGGCCGCCTTCCCCCTGCTTGGAAGGAAGCGATTGTCACGCCAATATACAAAACTGGTGACCGACTATCGCCTGGCAGCTATAGGCCTATAAGCCTCACTAGCGTGCCGTGCAAGGTGATGGAACGCATTCTGAAGCGAGCCATCCTAGATCACCTTACTTCCAGCAATCTGATATCTCCAGCTCAACACGGATTTCTCCCAAACCGTTCTTGCGTGACAAACATGCTCGTGTTTATGGACAGCTTAACCCAAGCCAAGGACGAAGGACTCATATCGGATGCCATATTTTTCGACTTCTCAAAAGCATTTGATAGGGTCCCACACGTCCCGCTGCTCCACAAACTCGAGTCTTACGGGATTCAAGGGAAAATCCTTCGCTGGATCAAGGCGTTCCTATCAGACAGGTCATTCCGAGTGAGAATAGGCTCAACCTATTCCTCTCCAGCGCCGGTCTCCATTGGAGTTCCTCAAGGCTCCGTCTTGGGACCACTCCTGTTTCTGATCTACGTCAACGACCTCCCAGACGTTCTTGCGAGTCCATGTTTACTTTTTGCGGACGACTTGAAATCCTGGAGTTCCAATGCCAGCGCCCTCCAAATGGATGTAGACGCTGCCAAGCAGTGGTCGTTGGACTGGCACCTTCCTCTGAATGATGAAAAGTGCGTCCATGTGTCGTTTGGAGGGGATTCAGCGAATGCCTTTGTTATGCATGGTGAAAAGGGACCAGAAAACATCATGAGGATAGATGCCAAAAAAGATTTAGGCATCTGGGTCTCCTCAAACTTGTCCTTCGCACTACACCATGAGAAATCGGCCCAAAAGGCATTCGCCGTTTTACGGATGATCCGACGTACCTTCTCCCGTATTACTCGCATGGACTTCCAAATACTCTATGGGGCCTACGTCAGACCGCTCCTGGAGTACGCCAACCAAGTTGTCTACTCAGGACGTACGAAAGACGTTACCCTCATTGAGCGTGTCCAGCGGGCCGCCACGAGAATGGTTGCCGGCCTCAAGTCCGTGGACTACGAAACGCGTCTCGCGACGCTTGATCTCTTTCCCCTGGAGTACCGTCGCCTCCGAGGGGACCTAATTCTTACCTACGCCCTGTTTGAACAAAGCTTGGCAAACAGGTTTTTTACCGTTGACCCAGCAAACACCCGGCGGGGACATAGTAAGAAAATCTTCAAGCTCAGGGCACACACATCCGTTAGACAAAACTTTTTTTCATTTCGGGTAGTAGCTGCGTGGAATGACCTTCCTCCGACGGTTGTACATGCTCCTTCTCGAACCCAATTTAAAGCACTATTAGACATTTATTTATGCGAATCCTCGCGCTAGCGAGCATTCTGCCCCGCGCTGAGAACATAAAGAGCAGTGCTACACCCTTTTTTCACTTGTGCCTTTCAGGTGAACGACAGCCACTGACCGACAAGAACAAAACCGACCCGGGAAACTTGGGCAAAAGCCTCGGTCCCGTGTATCAATCCGTGAATCCGTGAAAAACAAATGGATACAGAGGAGCCACATCGCACGGTAGCATGCATATGTGAACTTTCCACGGGTGTAAACCATTTGGGTGCATCTATGTGTTTGCACCAAAACCTATCAGCTAGTCAACGTATATTGACTCTGCCTTATTTTTTCAACATAATAGTAGCGCATCCTCGCGACATCGAGTGTCCCGGAATAAGGAAACGCAGATACGCGGTCACTCGTACCTTCCGTCCCCTGCAATTTCCCGTCGGTCGCAGTAGCTTGAGCCATTAGGCCTGCCGGGCTAACTTTATGGCGTACTTTTGTGTGTCTTAGCGGTCCATCCGGTTGTTCAGCCAACTGTTTGCGTCCTCCAGCCGAATGTTGGTCACTACCGAAATGTGCATTCCCGAACTGCGCATGCACAGCTAAGTTGCGGGTAATGTATGACAAGGGGGCCGCCAGGTCGGACAAATCTTACGTCCGAGCGTCGGAACAATCGTAGATCACGTCGGCATCTGTGTGTTGTTATTATTATAGACCGACATCACCCTATACGACATTATCCAGGTGAGTCATGCATTGAATTATTCACCGGATGTTTGTAGAGGCGATCTGTGACCAAAAATACACGGATGTTGTGTGATATGTACGTGATTCCACAGAGCCTTTCTAATATGAAAGCGGCACATGACATCGCAGTCGAAAGCTACACTCCACAGTCAAAAATGCAATGGACAGCCGGCGCCTTGAAGGCTACTCCATGTACCCTATCCTCCCCTAACGAATTCTTCCTAGTACCGAACTCC